CCCCCTGAAGTTATCACTTGACAGAGGCCAATTTTGTATGTTAAATCCCCAGTTTCATAATTCTTAAAGTCCAAGTTTTGATGATGCTTAATCCCAACATTCCCCTTCTTTCCCCAGCAGGGACAAAGAGGTTTCTCAGCCCCTCTTTCTGGTAGAAGGAATTATACCCTGTCACCTTCAGTCCCCTGCCAGACCCAGGCAGAAACCAGCTACAGGGAGAGCATAGAAAGAGCAGTCTACAGGCTCTGCCTCTGAACAACCCAGATCAAAGCCAGGAAAGTGACTCTGTTAAACTCTCCTGGTAAAACTGCCCCCTTCCCAGACCCTGCACAGCTCTCTTAAGTAGCTTCCCTTTTCTCTCTCTTCTCAAGAGAGTTGGGCATATCCTAGTCTGTCAAATCTTTCTCTGGTTCATCTCTTTGTCACCCAGTTAGCTATCACAGTCAAACATGAGTGTTTCCTTCTACAAACTAACTTTGCCTTCATTGTTTTGGATTAAAAGTATTTACTAAGGATGTGTCTGTATTCCAGCCAGAAGATTAGTGGATGAATCAAAGAGATTCAAGCTCAAGTCTTCATGCATAGCTAGAGCTCTTAGCCACTGAGCCATCTCCCCACTTTACATTCTAAGGTAAGGAGACAATGCTCATATAAATATGATACTTACAGATGATGATAAGTCCTCTAAAGAAAATTAACACTGACGAATTTCAGAGAGACGTGGAGAGCCTGCAATTTCAGAAAGGGTGTACCAGGAGGGCATTTTTGGAGAAGAGGTTTGAGCTGGTGCTTTAAGAAGGAACCAACTCAAAGTCTTATGAAGCAGGAAAAGATTGGTGTGCTTTCAGAAGAGAAAGGAAGAGGGTGAGATGGAGGAGAGGAACAGGAAAGAGATGCGCCATGCAGCTTCCAGAGATGGGCTTAATACTAAATGCAAACTGAAACCACTGATGGGTTTAAAAGCATGGAAATGACCTAATCTGAATTAAGATTTTATAAGATCACTCTGGCTCCCACGTGTGGGATGGATGGTTAGACATCTGTTGTGATAATCTAGACAAGAAATCAATGGTCACATGAATTAAGGCTGTGGCAGTAGAGAGGAGAGTGCAATAGATTGGAGATACATTTTGGAAGCAGGGCTGACAAGGGCATGCCAGTGGATGAGAGGAAGGAGCCCGCCGCCCATCTCCCCACTGGATGGGAGAAAAGGAGAAAATAAGAACAATCCTTGAATTTGGGGTTTGGGTAACTGGAGGGTGTAGAGCTGTTCTGAGAGATGAGAAGACTGGAAAGGGACAGATTTGTGAGGGTGGCAATCTCGAGCTTTCTATTAGACATGCAAGTTTTTACTGCACGGAGGCAAATGCAGAGCCAACTCTGGCTAAACAAACTGGGTGGGATAGAAAGCTAGAAGACTGGATTATGAGCTTGGGAACATTAACAACACAGTCAACGTTTAGGGGACTGTAGGAGCTAAGGACTGTTGTAGCTCCTCTAGCAAAGGGAGCTGGAGAAAGCCTCACAGAAAATAGTTAAATTGGCTGTTAAAAGATGCGTGGGAGTCTGTCTGGAGAAGTAAAGGGATCTGGGAAATAGAGTTAGTTGTAAGACATATTCAAAAACCTGGAATCCAGAGTCGGGATGTAGCTCAATGTACAGCAGGTGCCTAGCATGCCCAAGGCCCTGGGTTCCACCCGGAAGCACACAAAGCCTTAGGGTCCTAAAGTCCAGTCACAGTGAGAGCCCATTGGTACCCCTAGGGTCCAGCACACAGTACACGTTCCATAAATATTTGCTAAATGAGTGGTTTGTTTAACAACTGGCAAGTGGCTTGGTGGAGTTGGTTCTGGATGCACAGATAGTAAGTAGCGGAAGAGAAAGTGCCAGTGTGGACCACTCCCACCCTAGCCATCCCCAGGGGGCCAACTGCTTGCAGAAGTAGGGGAAGAATCTTTTCATGGTTTTCTGCCTGAGGGAGGGGCCTGCAAAGCTCTGCATTTTAGAAGATTGGAGGGTGAGAAAAATGAGGGGAGTGGGGAGCGGAAGTCAAATGGAAGGCCGGAAGAGTGAAGATGGGGAGACACCCCAGAGGCTGTGTGGGTGACAAGGCCTGGGAAAGGATTCCTCGACCCCAGCACCGAGATGCTTTGTATGGACAGAGAAACCTGTACCCGCAAGGAGTGATCTGGGTAGTAGCTGGTACTTTAAGGAATCTCTCGGTTTGTTACCAAGAAGCCCTTTAATTTCCTGGGAAGGAGCGTGCCAATCATACCTAACAGCAAGTTTGCTTGTTCAACACTATAGACCTTGGAGGTGGCTTTGGGTCTGGATTAAATTTTACTTAAGAAATAGCTACTCCTTGAATACGTTGAATACACCCAGTTTTCTAAGTAGTTGAAGAAACTTGGTGCTGGTTCTCTTGAGAGAGACGGGGAACTCAGAGATAGACTGGGAGGTGGGGGTGGGGTGGGGGCGATGAACAAAATTAGGGGACACGAGTTCTGTTTTGGCCTGGCTGACTAAGGCACCATGCTTGACCCCTCCAGGAGGGTCAAGCAGCAGGTCCGAAGGCTGGGTTTTGACTAGGGAGGGCATGGTAGAGGGCAGATAATCAGGAAGGTTGAGTGGGACCCGGAGGGTGAAATAAGAAGCAAAAGCAGCCAAAGGAGTGGCAGGCTCCCAAATTGGCTCTCTCCACAACTAACCACTGCCCAGCCTTGGGGGCTGCCAGACAAGAGGGCAGGAGAGGTGGAGCGCATTAGGAGGGATTTCCCTGTACAGCAGGAGCCCCCAAAGTGGGACCATCCCTGGTGCCGAACAGGGAAAACCGAACAGAAATTCAAACCTGGGAAGTCAGAAGCAGCGGTTAATCGAGAGGTTGCAGCTCAAAGGGCAGCAGCCGCAGCCTAGGACAGTGGCCGGACATAGACCCTCTGCCCCAAGGTGGCCGCCTTCACTCCCAAGGTGAGTGGGCGCAGAAAGGGATGGTGAGTTGTCCTCTAAAACCCACAAGAATCGGGGAAGGGGGTCTCCTCCTGCCTCCCGCATCTTTGCCCCTCTCCCCGCTTCAGGTCCCGGAGCCACCTCGGAATCAGATCCCAGCCCGCGGACTCCGCCCCGGGACCCCTCCTCCTCCCGGGCCCGGCCGCCCGGTACCGTCTCCTGGGGAGATGGTCTCGATCTCCACGCCCATCGCGGTCCCACAGGCCCCGCCTCCAAGGGGGTCCTCGCGGCTGCCCCGACCCCGGCTCCGCTCAGGCAGGACCCCGCAGGCGCTCCGGCTAGCTTTCTTGCAGCCACTGCAGAGCCGGAGGAGGTGCGGCTGGAGTCAGGACCTGCGCGGGGAGGGGCCGCCGGGAAGGGGGCGGCGGGGTGGAGCTGTGCGGCAAGGTGGGGTCGGCCGGGGCGGGGCCCGGGGGAAGCGACCTTGAAGTCGCTGCTCCGGATCCTGGGCAGACTAACCACCATTAACCCACTGACTGAGAGGGGAGGCTGGGTGAGCGAGGTGTGCCGGCACTAGCACATCCACACATCTATCCATCTAGCGGTTCAATGTATATTTATTTAACACCTACACGGTGCAAAGCTCCAGGGAGTCCACTCAATCCTACAGACTAGGAGGAGAAAGTCGGTAATTATACTAACACTTTAAACACATGTGCTCAGTGCCGTGGGGTTCAGAACACAACGGAAACACTCGAGACTGATACCTACCCTGGCTAGGCTTCTCGAATCTATAGGAACAGAGCTGGGAGAGAGAAGAAGCCAATTATTGATGAATTCTCCCCAACCACCTTAAGCTCATATTCATCATCCTTCAAAGTTTTACACCAGGTATTTGTATTGGGGGGGGGATCTCACTTTTCAAGGTAAAGGACTGCTCCCTGGGGATTCCAACTGAATTAAAGCATGGTCAGCTGTGTGCTGAGGACACAGCTACAGCCTGAAGTGGTGACTGCTACAGAAGGAATGAATGTATTCTTTTACTTCTACTAAAACCTGAATATAGAAAGATACTTCTGTCCTTCCCGAATCCTCCGCTTCCTTGGTCCTGGGACTTGAACCCAGGGAAACCAGGGCCTGTTCACGCACCTAAGCTAACAGAGGCTATGTCCATGGCCCCTAGGAAGATACATTGGGAAGAGGTAGCATTTGCTTGAAGACTGAAGGAGACTTTAAGAAGTGCACCCCCCATCCTTTCTACTTCATTGCAAAAATCGACATGAATTTGTTTCTGACAAGAAACGATGGGAGATGAAGATGGGAGAAAGACCTATTCAAAGGCCCAGAACTAGAACTTGAGGCGTTTTCCTCGGCTTCTTTATCTCCACTTTTCCAGGCGGCTAGCTAGCAGATGAGGTTGTCAGTATCCAGATACAAGGACTGAAGTTGACGCTCAGAAAAGATTTACGGACCTGTGCAGGTCAGGATCAGAAAAACCCCGCGGGTGTGGTCTTCAGGGCTTAAGACAAAAAAAAAAAAAAAAAATTAAGAGACCCCACCCACCAGTCACCGCCGCCAACCCTACTGGCTATGGCCTTGGGCAGGTACTTTGAGACTAGGGGTAGAACATATCTGCTACTTGGGCAGGCCTAGGAGACTGGCTTCAGGTGAACAGATACTATTTACATTTTGGGAGTGATACTTATGGGATTTTTAAACGGGGAGTCCCCGACTCCCCTCTAAACTAAACTAAAAACTATCGACACATGTTGACCGTAGAATTCCGATTCGTTCTTGCCAACCTCTTCTATGAGAACGGATGAGACCTATGTAGGAGAATAGGTTGAAACACTTGAGATGGATTGTGAAGATTTACGGGCTGTGGTTTCGCGGGAACTACAACTCCCAGAAACCGTTGCGGCAAAGCCCGCGCTTATTGGTCATTGGAAGGACCCGCCGCTCACGTGACTCATTCAAAAGCCAATAGTATAGAGGCATCTCCGAGGTCCAAAGGCCGAGGCTTCCGTTAGTTGCCCGGGACTTCTGATCTGCAGTCCTGTGACGTGAGCGGCTCCGGGGATTTTTATGTGTGGGGCGGGGAGGCAGAGAGACCAAGGTATTTCGTGGTTTTTTGTGGCCAGGCCTGGCGGGTGTAAGGGAGGCCAGGCAGAGAGGGAGGTGGGTGGCACTTAAGGTCCGGGTATGTAGGCGTGGGGAGAAGTTGAGAACTAGGCGGGCGGTGTGTGAGGAAGAGTTGGAAGAGGACCAGGCTGCAGTAGAAGCAAGCTGGTGTGGGTTTTAACAAGTGAATGTATCCCTTGGCATGCACGAATTACACGTATCGTAATAGAGCTTAAGGAATATAGACTTATTTGTAGTAAAGTCGCCTACGAACTTTGAGGTGTTTGAACAAACGGAACTAAGAACTTGTTTAAAATCACAAATCATAATAGCCGAGCTTTTAGTTAATTGCGGGAGGCTCTAACGGGTTAATCAGTTAAGCTGTAGCCAGAATCTCTCTCCCACTTCTCTCATTCTTCTGGGGAGGCAGAAGGGAATTTTTTGTTTTTTTCTTTCTTTTTTTTTTAAATCTGGTTTGGTCTTTTTGAGACTGGGTGTCATTTTACAATCTGTACTATCCTGAAACTTGAGTGTACCTTAGCGTTTGCACACGCACGTGCACTTGCTTTTGTGCATAGTTGGAAGTCGTGCGGCAACCTTTGTGAATTAGTTCTCTCCTACCGCTTTGTGGGATTCTGGGGTTGGGCTCAGGTATCAGGATTGTGCACAAGCCCCTGATAACCGCTGGGCTATCTTGGCTGGCTTTCAGGTTTTGTTTTGTTAATGATGAGATCCTTAATTGCTTTGGTCTTATTAGCCTTATGTCAGTGACTCCCAAATCCTTCCCCCGTGGCTGCCTAAGGTACATCCATTGCTACCTCATAGGTGTCTTACATGAAACACATTTAATACTAATTTTGTCATAACTGGCTGTATCTCAGTTGGTGGAGTGTTTGCTGGGCATACACAAGGTTCTAGGTTCCATCCTCAGCACCGCACAAACAGGGCCCGTATTATTCTCATTACACCTGCAGGCTGGAGGACTAGAAGCTCCAGGCCCATCTGGGCTACATGAGGGTCTGTATCAAAAATTAATACGTTACATACTACACACCTTTCTCCTCTTTGAAGCATGCCTGCCTTCTGCATCTTTGGTTAATGGTTTGACTCTTTTCCAAGCTAAAACTTTGCATGCTGTCCCTGAAGTATTTTTCAGTATTCACATGGTGTCTGATAGCATAGTCTTTTTGTCTGCTGGAGAAGCATCTCCTGCATTTAGCCTTCTTTCTCTGTGGAAACAGCTACAAACTTTGTTTCCTCTCGCTTTTTTATTCTATCCTTTTCTTTTTTGTATTTTTCATTTTTTTCCATTTGATTTTGTGTTTTGTTTGTCTGTTACCCCCATGCTCACCCCCGCCCCCGCCAGGGTTTTTCTATGTAATCTTGGCTGTCCTGGAACTCACTCTGTAGATCAGGTTAGCCTCAAACTCAGGGATATGTCTGCCTCTGCCTCTCAGGTGCTGGGATTAAAGGCATGTACCACCACAGCCAGGCTCTTATTTTTATCTTTATTAAGAGTGTTTTTTTACCCAGATGGGGCACACATACTACGGCAACTGTGTAGAAGTCACAGGACAGACAGCTTTGTGAGTGTGTTCTTTCCTTGAACTTCGTGGGATTCAGGGATTAAACTCAGGTTTCATTGAGAACACTTTTTTTTTGTTTGTTTTTGTTTTTGTTGTTGTTTTTGGTTTTTGTTTTGTTTTTGTTTTTGTTTGTTTTTTCGAGACAGGGTTTCTCTGTGTAGCCCTGGCTGTCCTGGAACTCATTCTGTAGACCAGGCTGGCCTCAAACTCAGAAATCCACCTGACTCTGCCTCCCAAATGCTGGGATTACAGGCGTGCACCACCACTGCCTGGCTAATGGTGAACACTTTTATCTGCTGAGTCAACCCACTGACTCTCTGTTCACTTGACTATTGTGGTGAATCAAGTCTATTTTGTCTCATCCCACCCCACCCCCCAACCCTCTGTGTGACTCTGGTTGGCCTATATTCTATCTATCTATCTATCTATCTATCTATCTATCTATCTATCTATGTTCCATATAAGCCATGCTGCCTTTTATTCTCAGAGATTCTGCTACCTCTGCCTCCTTTAGGACCAAAACAGATCAAGTTAGAAAGGTATATCTGTAGCAAATAATACAGGCCCTTGAAGTCTTAATGCTTTCTGAAAGAACTTCGTTACTTTTAAGTAGGGAGGAGGTGCTAGGGGTTGAACCTAGGGTTTTGAGCATCTGAAGCTGAAATTCTACCAATGGCCCACATCCTCAGATCTGGAAGGACTTTTTTATATGCTGAAGGTGTATATCCAGTAGTCTAGTTTGGGAAGAGAAAAAAAAAAAAAAGCAAAATCAGCTGGAGGGGGGTGGAGCGCACCTTTAATCCCAGCACTTGGGAGGCAGGTCTCTGAGTATGAGACCAGTCTGGTCTACAGAGTGAGTTCCAGGACAGCCAGAGCTATACAGAGAAGCCCTGACTCACACCCTTCCCAAACCACAACAACAAAATCAACAAAGAAAAAGCTAAAATGAGGGTCAGCAAGGTGGCCAGCAGGTAAGGATGATTGCTACAAAGCCTAACAACCTGAGTTTATATCCAGGACCCATATGGTAGAAGGAGAGAACCAACCCCTAAAAGTTGTTTTCTGACTTCCACATGTGTGTCATGCATGCACACACACACACACACACACTGAAAAAGTTAATCCTGTACATTAAAAAAAAAAAATCTGCCTAACACCACATAATGCGTAAATTCATTTGGAAAGAGAAGACTAGAATGAAGGTGAAGTCTGCCTATTTGGTCTGATAAAAGGAAAGATAATGAAGCGATCCTGTGTTAGTTCAGGAAAAGGGAATAAAGTGTGTTTTTGTAATTGCTTGCTTGTGTTTCTCTGAGCTCACAAGTCCCTTTCCTGTGTCACTGTGTCAACATATACTATCAGTGACATTAGACTAAAGCTTAAAATATGTCATCTGAATTGGTTTTTTATTTAGTTGGCCCATTAGGAAATTTTCTGCCCAGGAAAATGTATCATGCATTATTTATCAGCAAAACTCTTTTTAAAGGGCCTAAGTAGTTGCCAGAAAAGAGCCACATGTTATATTCCACTGGGATAAGAGGTTCCAGTTCTCACCATCAGTAACAACAAGGGACTGATCCCCATTTGGCAAGTCACTGCAGAGCCACTTCGTGTCATGTAGTCTGTAAATGCAGAGCAGAGCGTTCCTCCTTAGTACAAGATCCTAAGAACGGACTTGCTGGTGAGAAGACAACGTTTATAGATAGGTTAAACACCGATTGCCAGGTTGTTTTTGAAGAGCATTTGTTTGTTCAGATAGAGCCTGAAGTCGACCTCTAAAGTTCCTTCAAGACAGGTTGAACCCTGTCTAGTAGGTTTGGGGACAGGAATGTTGAGCGCCTCCTTCAGAAGGGACTGCGGAAGGAGCCCAGCCAGAGCAGGTGGAGTGAGTGGTACAGAATTAGTGTGTGCAAACTGGATGGTCCTTTGAGAACTGACAAGATTAAGCATTTTATGCATTGGTAGTGTTCACTAAGAGCCCAGGCCTACCAGCTTAAAGCTTCTCCTCTGAACTACACCCTCAGCTGCCAAGAACCAGCCTCTGCTTGGAGAGGGGTTCTGAGAGAAGGGTTGTGTGGAAAGGACTTGAAGTCAAATCGTGAATCCAGGCTAACAACCTGTGTTCTGCTCAATCCAGCTTTTCCAGTCTGCTTCTACGTTCTGCTTTCTCTCTGGAGAGCTGTCTGTGTTCTGCTTGCTTGCGATTCTGAGATCTGTCTGTCCATGTCCTGCTTGCTTGTGACAGGTCTCCAAGCAATTCTCTTTCTTTTTTTAAGATTTATTTATTTTATGAGTACACTGTTGCTGTCTTCAGACATACCAGAAGGGGGCATCAGATCCCATTACAGATGGTTGTGTGCCACCCTGTGGTTGCTGGGAATTGAACTTAGAACCTCTGGATGACCAATCAGTGCTCTTCACAGCTGAGTCATCTCTCCAACCCTCACAGTTCTCTTTTTATCCTAAAAAATTCTCTGGATATCTCATCTGCAGAACACTGGTCCAGTCTTTTATTTTCCCTATCAACCCAGTCATTTACTCCAGGTTCCCTTTTGCTTTTCTGATTAGTCAGCATCCCACAACTCTTAAGAAACAGCAAGCATACATTTTTTTCTTAACATTGCCAAAGAATTCAGAGATCTGTCTGCCTTTGTTAAGCACAGATAATAAGGGTAGGACCTTGCCCTGAAATTACCACTTCTACCATGCCTGAGACTAACCTTGCTCTGTCCCATGCTGATCCTAAACTCAAGAATCTGCCTTTGTAAGCATAAACAGAAAAATTTAGCTGAATGGGATCTCCTGTGACACATTCCCTAAATCTCTTTATCTCTTTAGTAATTTTCTAACAAGCTGGCTCCCAGCACAGCTGCTTTTGTTCCTTTAGATTCATGAAGCCCCTTATATAATTCATATTGCATCCTTATGTTTTGCATAGTTGAAAAATAATACATTTTTGAACTCATGTATTTAAAGCTCTTTCCCATAGCCTTAAGGGCAGTCCTGAAGATCCCAGTGTTTACCATTGTGCTGAGATGTAGCCCATTAACAGGGAGGACATTCCTCAGAAAGAAAGAGTCCTGCACTGCTGTGGGCCCCGGGAGTATGTGCGTTATTACACAAACAAGTCTTCTGCTCACAGCAGCCATCGACACTCCTGGAGACGCACACATGGGGCCCTGTCCTAGGGGCAGGAACCATGTCACTCTGTCCCCACCAGGGCCATGCCAGGCTTGGCACCCAGCCTTTACACATGTTCACTGATCCTTGTTGGGGAAACTGCCTGCTGACAGGCATGAGATCTAGTTCACAGGTAGAGCAGTTGCCTGGCTTGTCCAGGTCCTGGGTTCATCCCTCAGTGGTGAACAAAAAATTGTTAATATTCTTTGACTGTTTAAAAGCTTTTTAAGTCTTTAAACTCTTTATGAAGTAAGTATATTTTTATATATTTACATTTTACTATAAGAAGATAATTTGAATATATGATTATTAGAAATAATTCCCTCCAAATACAGAAATTGAAAAGTCTACTTTGACTCTTATGCCACCTCATCTTACTGTCTACTGTGAACAGTTTACATACCATTCCTGACCTTTTCCTGAGTCTAAATGAAAACACACACACACACACACACACACACGAGTAGACACATAATGGTGTATGTTTTTCCTAAATAGCACATATTTACGGGTTATCATATGAATTCCACTCTTTGAGATTTCTCACTGAAGTTCCCTTTTCTCTTTTTTGAGATCTTACCCAGGCTGGTCTCAGACTTATGGGCTTAGGTGACCGCCTGCTCAGCTTCTTGAGTATCTGGGCCTATGGGCGGGTACCACCCCTACCTCCAGTTGTCTGATGCAGTGCTTCTCAACCTTCCTAATGCTGAGACCCTCTGAAACAGTTCCTCATGTTGTGGTGACTCCCAACCATAAAATCAATTTGTTGCTACTTCATAACTAGTATAGCTACTGTTATGAATCAAAATGATATCTGTGTTTTCTGATGGCCTTAGGTGACCTCTGTGAAAGGGTTGTTCAACCCCACAAAAAGGTTAAGACCCACAGGTTGAGAATCATTGGTCTAATTCCTTCTATATTGACATACTTTTTTTTTTTTAAATGTCACACATGCTAAGCAATCCGTGTCTCACGGAGTATTGATTCACACTCTGACCCGCCTGTTCTGTATCCGTGTCTCACGGAGTATC